AATGTAAACCCCCAAACTATTAAATTCATCAAAGATAAAATAGGGGCAAATCTAGGAGCCCTAATTTATGGCATAAATAGACTGTCAAGCATAACCCAGAACGTGCAGGAGACAGAGGAGAAGCTAGATGACTGGGACCTTTTAAAAATTAAATTCTTGTGCGCATCGAAAGATTTCATCAAAAGGGTGAAAAGAGAACCTACAGATTGAGAGAAAATATTTGCCTATGACGTATCTGACAAAGGACTTATCTCCAAAATCTACAGAAAACTTCAACACCTCAACACCAAAAAGACAAATAACCCAATTCACAAATGGGCAAAAGACTTGAACAGACACTTCACCAAAGAAGATATACAAGCAGCCAACAAACACATGAGAAATTGCTCATGATCATTAATCATCAGAGAGATGCAAATCAGAACAACAATGAGATATCATCTCACCCCAGCAATAATAGTAAAGTTCAACAGATCAGACAGTAACAAATGCTGGCAGGGTTGTGGAGAGATTGGAACTCTTGTGTACTGCTGGTGGGATTGTAAAATGGTACAACCATTGTGGCAAATGGTATGGCATTTCCTTAAAAAACTGAAAATAGAAGTACCATTTGGCCCAGCAATTCTATTACTAGGAACATATCCTAAGAGGTGAGAGATAGCGCACTAACAGACATATGTACACCTATGTTCACTGCAGTACAATTCACCATAGCAAAGAGATGGAAACAACCTAAATGCTCATCAACGGATGAGTGGATAACCAAATTATGGTATATCCACACAATAGAATACTATGCCACATTAAAGAACAATGAGGAATACGCGAATCATCTCACAATGTGGATGAACCCAGAGGGCATTATGCTGAGTGAAATAAGTCAATTGCAGAAGGCCAAGTACTGTATGAGCCCATTACTGTAAAAAAAAAAAAAAGCAGAGAAGGGTTTGCTTGGGAAAGGGAACTCACCTAGTAGGTTACTGGGAAAGGGAGGGATTAATTTAGGGCTAGTTGGGGCTTACACGCTGACATGGGTAGGGGGAGGGATATACGGGAAGGATATATGACCACCACGATTACATTGGGAAATGAGAGGACACCGAACTGTGCTCATAAGAGATAGACGACAGATGTTAAAACCAATCAATGTGTTCACAATACCACATTGCCCCTAACACCAAACACTAGGCTATACAGATAAACACATAAACACCTGAGATGATCAGACAGGGATCAGTGAATAGAGGTATACTCTAGACCAAGGATAGACTCAGTTGAGGCTAATCTTGTACAGACACCAGTGATACAAAATACCGCAGTGCTTACAGAAACAATAGAAGACACAGAGTAATCCCTCACAGACATCCCGACACTATGGAGAGAGATCCAATAGAGCTACTACCTCAGGACCATAGTACTGGGGTACCCCAGATTCAATTGGCACAACAAAATACATAAAAGCATTGCTCCACATTCTACATTGGTGAGTAGTGACTGGGGTCTTAAAAGCTTTCAAGCAGCCACCTAGGATGCAGCTAATGATCTCCCAGCGTCAGAAGTGAAGAAGAACACACACACACACACACACACAAACCAAGGGCATTTAGAAGCAATCAACCCTAGGACACGATGGTCCTTGAGACCAGAATAACCAGATGGTGCCTGGCTACCAATGCCAACCACTCAGGAAAGGATCAAATCTGGAGATCCTGGATAGAGTGAGAGGGAAAACGTGGAACAAAATCCAAAAACTCAATAATGACCAGAATTACTGGTCAGATGAAGTCTGGTGAGATTCCCAATGATATGGCCCTGAAATACATTTGGCACCTTGAATAAAACTCACCCCCAGGGACAGGCTCTCAGCCGAATGGTTAGCGAGATGTACACGCAGACCACTCAACCCAGGATGCTGCACCCACACACTCAATGGTAATGCAACCCCTAAAGCAATAAACCTTGGGACACCAAAGGACCAACATTCAAACTGAGGAAATGCAGGACAAACAGGAGTGCATGATTATGAGGAGCATACGGGGAGTGTTGCAGGGTAGGGAGGGGAGGAGGCTGGTTTGGGGTTGGACATGACGAATGGGGAATGAAACTAAATGTACGCATGACTTCGAATGTAAAACAAGCTTTTAAAATTAATTAAATAAATAAATATATATTTTTTAAAAAGTGTAGAGTTGGAGTTTAGTTTAAAACTGAGAAAGGAAAAGAAGGGGAAGGGAGAGGAGGGAAAGGAGACACTATGGTTCCGAAAGGTCACTCCCTTGAAAACCCTGTGGAGCAGTTCTACTCTGCACACATGGAGTTGTTATGGGTTGGAATCAACAGCAATTAATTAACTAACAACAACAACAACAGATAGCCATTCCAAAGGAAACACTGCCGATGATAAGTGTCGTTGTTGCTGTTGAGTGCCATCAAGTCATTTCTGACTCATAGCGACCCTGTAGATAACATAACTAAACACTGCCTGGTTCTGCATCATCCTCACAACTGTTGCTGTGAGCCCATTGCTGCAGCCACTGTGTTAATCCATCTCATTGAGGGTAAGTGTGGAGTCAGTACCTAATTCCACACACACCTATTGCCTTGGAGTGAGGAATACTGGCGTCCACTTCTGTCTCTTGGGTACTACAAAAGTCTCATTATCAGAGAAAGCTATTCTGAGGCAGAAGAGCAAGCAAGTTTTCAAAAGTTTCACATCAGTAGGGCTAAGATAGAGTTGGCCCTCCATTTATTAGAAAACAGAGTAAGTTTGGTTATCTCGTTTCCCCCAAGAAATCTATTCAGAATTCCTTTCAATTTAAAAGTGTAACTTCTCTATCACAATGGGGAGAAAATAAAGGTCTGTATGACAATTTTGACATTTGTATGTTTATTTATTTTTTTGACTGAACATTTCTATCCATTGTTAGCACTAAAACAAACAAACAAACAACAACAACAACAAAAACTAACATTACTAGACCTGAAAGAAAACAACAAAAGAATAACAACTTCCTCCAATGATGGAACTGGTGCTTGGTAATTTCTATGGATGTGAGTACTGGGGTATCAAATGGCAAAAGGGAGTACGAAAGAGGCATTCGCCCAAGATGGCACATTTTAATAATAATTAGTCATGGTATATAGCACTTGCAAAGAGCTGCAGAATGCTCTTGAGGTTAAATGATTCAACATTTCCAGCCTCTAAAACATTCTCTAAATATCAACTAATTAAACCTGGGTTTTGTGTCTCCATTTGTCTACAAGGATAATTTTTGGACTCTTGGCTATTTTTTCAGCAAGTCAATCTTCCAATACTTAATGAATAATTGGAGAATAGAGTCATCTTAAACCTGGGACAGGAACATTATATGTCTCTGCTTTCATTCCCTGCCATTGTCCCTGCTTCCTCAACTTTTCCCCCACCAAAATGGAGTCACTACAAACAAAACAAAAGTCCCAAAGTTCACAGAGGTCTTAGTCTATGGCTAAGACCATCCTTGTGACACTTTTTGCATAATCCTGATATAATACATTTTATTTGGCACTGAAATCAATCGTTACTTAGTCTAACTAAATGCTATCCTATACAAAGAATACCAAGGAGAGCCATCTGGAAAATATCAGAATGATGAACAACTATAGAACATCTGCTAAAGAAATGGCAAAATACCAAGGCAGTGGCCCAACAGGGCCATCATGGGCATCACCTAGCATAGCATAGGAGAAAGGATTCTAAATGAAAAAGCTTGTTGGACATTCAGATCATCATTATTGTTGTTATAGTATAACAACTCATACATTGTGGAGAAAATAAACCGCAAGAAGGGAGATGCTCTAGTCAGATTTAATACAAGGAATCATCTCTTCTCCATGTCTAACAGTTGGCACTTGGCAATGATAACATTATGTGTGGAGAAATACATCTTGGGATTATAAAATAGAAATTTGAATATACAAATATACATTATGAAGTATGATAGTATACAAATTGATGTAAAAATATGCTTTGCTTTCCCTGTTCCATGATTTTAAAAAGCACAAAATTTTGTGTTGTTGGTTATTGAACCAGTGTTAGTAAACCTTTTTGGTTATGTTTTAGGAATGCTTTCACAGTACATGTTACTACAGTGTTGAAGTTGATATATCACATATTAAATAGCCTTATGAAATATTGAGGTCTCAACCAAAATAACTAAACATTACTGTAGATCATTTTAATAACATGTTTAGTTATATTATTTGGAGTAGTAGAATGGAGTGGCTAGGTGGAAATTCATCAAGATTTACCAATTGGCCTATTTTGAATTAAGTGTTTCATATAGTCAGGTAATCCAGATGGATGAAGTATTCATGATACCTTCATTGTTAATTAGGTAATTGAACTGAGGCTTTAGCTCTAAGAAGTTCTGTATGAAGATGGTATGTCAGGAAGAGATATCTTCCCTTCTGCCAGTTTAACTAGTAAATGTAGTAAGATACCTTTACCCAGATACAATTTCTTGAGTCAGTGTTTGACAGTCAACCATTATTCAAGGTGGTGGAGCTGTCAGGTTCAAAAGGCCATGGAATCAATAACTTTGCCACATGTGGCCAACTCCCATGGCTTTTGGAAGTTACTCACAGTTCAAGAATTCTGGGCAGCCATCTTGAAGGATAATATTCCCATATCTTAGGTCACAGCTGTTGTGTCACTGGCCTTCATTTCAATTCCAGTTAAATTATAAAGTGCAGTATGTAGTGTTGAACCTTCAGAAAGAACATAATGAGCACAGCCACCCTCCACAGAACCCAAATTCAAAGTACTGGAAGAGTCATCATCCATATCTGAGAATGTGCAGGAACTTGATCATCATTGTTGTCCTTATTATCATCCTCCTCATTGTCATCATTTTCTTCAGCATTCACTTCATCAGCATCACAGTTGCAGTATTACTATCACATCAAATGGTGTGGCAAGGTTAAAAAAAAAAGAAAGAAAGAAGAAGAAAAACAACCAAACATCAAGACACCGTCCAGTTTGGGTGTGTAAATGTTATCCTGTGTTTCTTGGCCCATTTAGCAAATACTTTCTTTTCAGTGATAAACCTATGCCCCCCATATGGGGCATGTTCATGAAGAAAATATTCATCACACTCATCTCTTCCTTGTTCATAATAATGGTAGGGGACTTTTCTATACCCTTCTGTCCTAGAAAAGAAAGAAAAGGAGAGAAAGACAGAGATGAAGAATGAAGCATTTGTTTACAAGAATCCATTATGTACCCAGTAAATGCATTTACTTGCAAACCCATATATGATTCCTGTCCATGAACTCAGTTAAAAGCTATTATGTATGAAAGCTTTTAGAAAGATGTACCAGGACTTCAGTGCTTTAATAGATCAAATAAAATTTATATATTCCACCAATTTTATTCTAACATATGGCTATCCTTTGAAGGAGGAAATGGTGTGTAATGTAAGCGAACTCTGGATAGCCTGATGGTTTTGCAGAACTTGAAAAAACTTTGTAATTTTTCAGAGTTAGATACTTGGTTCATCTGTGTTCCATTATGCTTATAGTTAGGGTAAAAATATTTGATCATTGTTTGAAGACTGTGGCTAAGAGTTACCATTTTGACAGTATGATTAGAAAGCTGTCTGAATTAGATTGTACGAATTGTTAGTGGGAAAATACATTCTGTTATCCTGATGAAGCGTGGAGGACTTGTTTTATTATCTAATTAAAAACTATCTTACCAGTGAGGATATACTATGGATAAACACACTCTTTTAAAATAAGGATCTGGCAGGTTATTCACTTATTAGTGAAATATAATTTCCAGGAATTCTGGTGACTGTGTCTGAGGTTTCTGGACATTTTGTCCTTCCTGATCAAATATAACCATTGAATAGATAGCCATCTATCAAGCCACTAAAGGAGCAGAAATGACAAACTTGCTGTGAAAATTAAATAAGCACTAAACTTGTTCTGTCTTTCCAAGCCACAAACCCAATATGCCACTGATTAAAGAAAAAATGTTCCTTGTGACATTTGACATTAGACTGTGGTAAATAATTTTCTTTTTATCACCCCTAAAAGTCACAATTTGATGCACTGACAATAAAATGTCATGTCGGTAAAGAATACCTGGAAATAATTGTTGCTTTATCTGTTTCTCAGATTTATGGTGTTAAAATGAATTGTGATATTTTGACAAGATCTCAGAATTGGAGATGCATAAAAATAATTCCCTGTGATCTTACTTGCAGTAGGTGTCATTTATCATCCCATAGACGTGGATGCCATAGCAGGCATCCATGGCCAGAATGAAGGTAAACCATCCTGTGCTGAGATAAGAACCAGACTGGACTCTGTGGGGGGAGGTGAGGCAAAAACAAAAACAAACAAACAAAAAAAGAAATAAAACAAAACAATATAGACAACACACACAGAGCAATAATAAAGTATGGTGAGAAATGAGCATCATTTTATCAAAAATGTAACACTTATTAGCAGGATAAAAAGCACGGAGAAACTTGACAATCTGTCATAGATACACACTTACTTTGAATTATCTCTGAATAATTTATATACATGCTCTCATTCTTGCTACCTGAAGCCTTGAAGCTATGTTGTGTGGAAGAGAAAGCATATGGCAAATATCTGAAGTCAAATAATCCTGTTCCCTTCAGGTGAAAAATAATTTATTTGATTTTCCTTAAGACACAAATTAGTCCTGTATATCAGAGGAGAGATTTTTTAAAAGATGCTTGAAGCCCTGGTGGGAACTGAATGATAATGGTGTTATCTTGCTTACCTGGATGTATCAACTTCTCTAAGACTCATTGGATTCATAAGGGTTAATTCACAGACGCAGGGTAGTTGAATGACTTGGTCTATGAAAGCAGCTGAAAAGTTTTCCCTTACTAATTTCCAGCCATTATCAATCAAGATTTTTCCTTTGTAAAAACTGTTACCCATCTCTTCAACAGTTTTTCACTGAACACCTACTATGTGTCAATCACTACAACTGGTGATACAGTAGCTATCAAAACGGATAAAGCCTCAATCTTCATGAAGACCAGAGGATTGCATTTGGAGGTGGCTGTGTTATCAAGGTTGGTCAGAGATGCTGGCTTTGATAAAGCGAGCAAAAATTGAGGGGAAGAAAGGGGAAAAGAAGCTGTGTGAACCATGTGAAGGAAAAGCATTCCAGGCAGAGAAAATGACAAGAGAAAACACAAATATGGAAGTGTGCTTGGTATGTTCAAGGAACAGCTGGAAAGAATAGTAAATGAGGTGCAAGGTGGTCAATGTAGCTAGAGCACTGATTGGAGGACTTTGCCAGATTCCAAATCATTCATGGGATTCTTTGATGAAAAGCTGGATTTCTATATTTGTCTTTAGCCAAAACCATCCATAACAGATGGTGTCTATCTCTAAAATTATTTCCATGGTTCCAGTAAAATGGTGGAATAAGCAGACAAACTACACAGACCCTCTTCAACAAAGAAAAGGGGAACAAATTAACACAAATCAGAAGATAATCCTGGAGCCCTGAGCTTTGAAAGGAAGGGTACAGAAGTGGAGTAAACTCCAACTAGTAGAACCTGCATGAAAACACCGAAAAAGGAGACATATGGAGATGCAGTCTGGCAGCAAACCTGACAGCACAGACAGCTTAGATATTGCCAAGTGGTGTTAGGACCTAAGAATTAACCTAAAAATCAGCCCTGCTAGTCAGGGGCTGCACGGAGGATTGCACTGGTGGCTGGTGAATAAAAGGGGCAGCAGAGAAGAGACAGACAGGCTGAGCTGTGGACTTTCACCTGTCTGGAGGGTACATCCATTTTGAATGTTTATAAGTGGTTCAACCATTTCGGAAATTTAAAGTGACAGTTCTTTCAGATTCCAGGGGCCTAAGAATAGGCCTCACTTGTGGGGAACTGCAAGGATATTTTGGACATGAACGATTGGAAAGGTGCGATATTCCCCTTGTTACTCTTACACCCCACACCCTCTTGGTAAATGGAGGCAGGGCCATCCCTCACTCCCACCCACCTTCTGGGCTGGCAGGAATTCCATCCCAATTTGTGTGCTCCAACGGAGCCTGGATGCTCTGCCCTACACTGCCCCAATTTTTTTTTCTTTTTTTTAGTTTGTTTGTTTTTGTCTGTTTTAAAATTATTACTATTGTTATTATTCTTTTTTTTTTCCTTGTTATTATTATTCTTTATTCTTCCCTTCCCAGGTTCTAATTTTCAGTTTTTTCTCTCTTCCTCATTCCTGGTTCCCATATTTTTCTTTCTCATAGTGAACCCCATTTGTCATTTTTCTTTTCGCATTTTTCCCATTTTTTTCTTTGTTATTCTCCTACTTTACCTCTTTTCTCTTATTGCCCCTCTCTAGATACTGTGAAGGATTTTGTTTGTTTGTTTGTTTTCTTTTGTTATTATTTGGTGATTGTTACTGTGTGTTTATATGGTGCATTTTTTGTCCACTTATTTTTACTTTTCTGATGGCTTTTCGATCATTGTGTTTGTCTAACTGAGATAGCAACAGTGCCCATCTGATGAAACCACACTCACACCTCCTGCAGCTCTACTCACTGAGAGCCACCACTTCCTTCTCCACCAATTGGCCAACAATAAATGATCACTGAGAAGAGCCTGACTCACCCTTAACTAGTCTTCACAAACAATTAGTGGAGATCTAAATACAACAACATCACAATGTCTCGGAGACAACAGTCCATCACAGTCCACACAAAGAACCAAGATAAAGTAGTAGAAACAAGGGAGCAGGATACAGACCCAGAACACATCCCTGGAGAAGCAGCAGCATTAGAACTCCCTAATAAGGAATTAAAAAGAATTACATTTAGGTACCTTCAAAGGATTGAGAGACAGATCAAGGAAAACACTGACAAAATTAAGGAAAACACAGACAAAACCCTAGATTTTCAGAAGAAAATACAAGAACAAAATGACAAAATAAATGAAAAATTAGAAATGATTCAAAATCTGCAGATAGATATCCAGATTAATATATTTTCAGAAATAGATAACTCATTGAAAAGTCAAAAGAGTAGAATCAAAACAATGAAAAATGGAGTTAATGAGATTGAAGACAAAACCTGAATACTTCTTTGGAAAGGGATCAATCAGAAAAAAGATCAAAACAAAATGAAGAAAGGCTAAGGTTCATGTCGGATACTGTCAAAAGGAATAACCCATGTGTAACTGGAATTCCAGAACTGGAAGAGAAAAATAAAACAACTGAGAAAATTATCCAAGATTTGTTGGAAGAGAACTTCCCTGATATGATGAAAGATGAGAATATATCCATTCAGAAAGTCCAACAAACCCCAAACAGGATAGACCCCAAAAGAAAATTACCAAGACATATCATCAAACTCATCAAAACCAAAGACAAAGAAAGAATCCTGAAAGTAGCACAGGAAAAACAAAAAGTAACCTACAAAGGACAACCAATAAGAATAAGCTCTGACTTCTCAGCAGAAACCATGCAAGTGAGAAGGCAATGGGATGGTATATATAAAACCCTGAAAGAGAAAAATTTCCAACCAAGAATTATATACCCAGCAAAATTGTCCCTCAAAAAGGATGGTGAAATTAGGAAATTTCCAGATAAGCAGAAATTAAAGGAATTTGTTAAAACCAGACCAACCTTAAAAGAGATACTAAAGGGAGTCCTTTGAATGGAGAACCATTAATAGCAAACAACAACTGACCATTCACACACAAGATGACATAACCCAGAAACCAACACAGCTGTAGACGTACCCAAAGTAAAATAAGCTTACAGAGAACTAGAGACATCAATTGGCAAATGAGGACAACTACAAACCAAAAGGGGGAAAATACTATGTAGCGACAGAATTTCCAAATGGTGAGGAAGTCAAGAGAGTTGCAATATAGAAGGACTGTTTTAAACTTGGGGAGAAAATCATGATTCACAGGGTAACCTCAAAGAAAAGTGATAAACCTCCCCACCACAGTATAAAAGAAGATAAGCACAAATATTTAGCAAATACTAAAACAACAGCAACAAAGGAAATGATCACATGATTCATAAATATAAGGAGCTCAGCACAGAAAATTATATGGGACAAAGAAACCAGCAACACCACGAATAAACACATAACAAAATGACAGCAACCAATTCATACTTGTTGATAATTACACTGAATATCAATGGATTAAGTGCAGCACTTAAGAGATGAAGAGTTGCAGACTGGATAGGAAAACATAACCCATCACTATCCCGTCTATAAGAGCACACCTTAGAGACAAAGACAAAAATAGACTAAAAATCAAAGGTTGGAAAAGGACAAAATCAACACTTTAAACCAATATCTCCAACAATTAGAAAAAGAACAGCAAGAAAATCCTATAGTCACCAGAAGAAAGGAAATAATAAAGATTTGCGCAGAAATCAATGAAAGAGAAAATAGAAAATAGAAAAAAAACAACAAGACTAGAAGTTGGTTTTTTTGAAAAGATTAATAAAATTGAGAAACCACTGGCAAATTTAACAAAGGAAAAGAGAGAGAGAATACAAATAACATGAATCAAGCAAATGGCAACCAAAAAGAGTAGGAGAGGCAATATTAATTTCTGATACAATTGACTTTAAGACAAAAACCACCATAAGAGACAAGGAAGGGCATTATATAATGATTAAAGGATCAATTGAACAAGAAGATATAACCATAAGAAATATCTATGGACCCAATGAAAGAGCCCAAAAATACATAAATCAGACTTTAACAGAATTGAAAAGGCAAATAGATGACTCCACAGTCACAGTAGCACCACTTTCAATGAAATACACCACTTTCAATGAAAGAAAGAACAACTGGAAAGAAACTCAACAAAGACGCAGAAGAGCTAAACAATACAATCCTCCAAGCCTTGGGAGTTCTGGTGGCGTAGTGCCTAACGCATTTTACTACTAACAAGAAGGCTGGCAGTACAAACCCACCAGGCACTCGTTGGAAGGAAGGTTAGGCAATCTACTTCCATAGTGATACCACCTCAGAAACCCAAATAGGGGTCGCTAGGAGTTGGATCTGACTTGACGGCAGTGAGTTTTGGTTTGGTGAAAGCAAGCCTTAATAAATATTAAAACACTGAAATACTGCAAAGTGTCTTCTCAGATCACAATGCTATCAAATTAAAAATAAACAATAGGAAGATCAACAGAAAAAGAGCAAACATATGGAAACTGAACAACACCCTCCTCAAAAATGACTGGGTAATAGAAGAAATAAAAAATAAAATAAATTCCTTGAATCAAATGAGAATGAAAACACAACATACCAAAATCTTTGAGACACAGCAAAAGC